TCAGAAGGCTACACTGAGTTAGATTTTGCCGGCTGACAGGCAGCAAACACCCTGATGTTGAATTCTCTCCAAACAGAACCGGTTTCATCCCAGCAGTGGAACAGAGTCCATCACTCACTGGAAGCCAGATCAGAAAATGGAGAGGACTGGTTATCTTCAATGTACAGTAAGTCAAATTGTTTGGACTGAAACGTACAGTCAAGTAAAAAATAAAATTTTTACAGGACTCTGTGAAATCCCGTGGAAAACTAAGTGCCCCCTTAATAGTTCCATAGTAATGAAGAGGGTGAGTAGCACCCAGAGGCTCCTAATCAAAGACTTTTTATTAACTGCAACGCACCATTCAAAGTCCAGACCTCACCCTGATTGAAATGCTGTGACAGGACTAAAGAGAGCTGTGTATAAACAAAGCCCAGAAGGCTTGACTAAAATTCTTTCACAATGATGTGAAAGACTGATCAAGTCATAAAGAAAATGATCACTTCAAGTTTTTGGTACTAAAAATGGCTCTGCATGCTCCTGAATCATGAGATAGTTTTTCACATAAATGCACAGAGTCCTGTGAAAACCTTCTTTTTTATATGGCAGTATGTAGGTTACATGCAGTCATCTACTAATCAGCAATCTTTATGGGTTTTACCTGGTTTCCAAACATTAACTGATGTCCTTTTTATTAAGCTTGTGTTGCTGTCCAAAGCTTCCACAATTCCAGCAACAACAGGCCTTCCCACCTGGTAACCTGTCATTAAAAATGTGTACACATGTTATTCCCAGGTACTGTAAATACTTTATTTTATACAAAACCTCCTCTTGGTCCTACCTGGGTTGCCCGAGTTTGGCTCGCCAGAAAATTCTCCATTTAGAAATGTGGCAGAATACTTTGTGCTTAATGTTGCTGTTAAGACAAGAGAGTACCAAAAATGAGTTTAAACTACAGGAAAAGAAAACAATATTAGTCAGAACCATTAGTCAAGCTAAACAACGGCCAAGCGTTATAGCACTTACCGCGACTATTTAAAATGATAGTCCCAATAGTCCTTGTCAGCGTGATGCCTGTGATGCCATTTTCTCTCCAGTAAAACTTGTAATGCAGCGCTAACGTCAAATTTTCACAAACCAGCATCTCATCTTTTGAAAAAAAATGCCCAAACATGCCAACATTAAGGTCAATTAAACATTTGAGTTGTGTTAGTAATGCAGTAATGTAATGTGGATACCTGAGGGGGCAACTGCATCTATTATGGAAATAAATGGACTCGTATCAGCAGCCACTTCATCAGTTACATCCACCACAACATCACCTGAAATACAGAAATAAACAAAACCATTTTTAAACAGCTCGACATTCAGATAGCTTTAAAACACGTCAAAGCTTTTCTATAATTTATTATTTTTAAAAACTACCTCCTTGTCCATTCTTCACTTTAATGCTTAGGTTTCCTGACAGTGTTTGTAGAGGATATCCAGTTGGACAGGAGAGCAGCAGAGTTGTACACTCATAGTTGAAATTTTTCAGAAATGCTACAGGAGCATTGTTTACACAAAGTCCAAGGACCTTCTGTTGAACAGAACAGTTGTTACATTAAGTGTTAGCTGTCACTGCTTTGGAATACTTACATATAAAACATTCCTATAATAAAAGGCATTAAATACACTGGTCCCTCGCTATATGGCGGTTCACCTTTTGCAGCCTTGCTGTTTCTTGGATTTTTTTGAGGTGCTTTTTTTGTCTTTTTACAACGCATTGTGTTCTGTGTCCCGATTAGCTGACCATTGTCAATCAATCTCGTGCCGTTACTCCTGTACATCAGCTTGTCAAATTTACATAAATCTTTGATCGCTAGCAGCGTGACTCTGAAGTGCTGTACTGTATGTTTGTAAGTTTTCTCCCCAACAAACACAACAATGTCGACGAAATGTCATCACCTGCGGGTCCCTTTGGTTTCATTCTATAATACTGCACTTATTTTTCTACAAGGTTTGAACTTTGAGAGTTTAAACAAAACAGAAAAGTGTGAAAATGTTCATGCCTGTCTGAGAAAAGTGTATAAAGAGTGTAGTGAGGGGTTTTACAGCCTTAAAACATCTATAATAATTGTAAAAAATAAAGTTGGCTACTTCGTGGATTTTACTTATCGCAGGTTATTTTTAGAACGTAACTCCCGCGATAAACGAGGGGCCACTGTACACGCTAACACTAACCTGAGGAACAGTGAAGCATTGGCCATTTAATGTGAAAATTGGATTTCCTTGAATATAAACATCAACTGGGACTGGAGCTGGTAAAACTGGACTTTGGAATGATGGACCAGGCTTAGGTGCACTAGACAGGTGAAAGACAAATGATGATAACATGAAACATGAAATTCCTTGATAAGTTGCAAGACTGAAATATATTTAAACCTTTCTCACATTGTGTCTCCCTTGTAAAAGTGACCAAGGTAAGGGTTGTTTTCAGGGGGAGAGTTGACACATAAAAATGGAAACCAATCTGGGGAATTTCCTGTGGACTGCACAGAACACTGATAATCTGGAGCCGGAGAGACCTGCCCACCAAAGGGTCCTGGCAGACAATGGGATGAGAACAGCTTCAAATCTTCATTGGAACAATCCTGTTGAGGGGGAAGTCACAAATTAATCACTTGATGATCAACACAGAAGAAAATATTTGTCTGACATCCACACCTGTCTTTTAAAAAATATTACCGTGTCACAACAGCAGAGTATGTCACACGCTCCGGATGTCAGGTCACAAGGACAAGGGCCCAGGGGCTGGTACACTTGGTTTGGAATAACTGTTTTATTATCTGAAATGGAGATTTCAATTTTTGTTGTTTGATTTTTTTTTTTTTTAAATGAAAGCACATTACAGTGAGACACAAGATTCATTTGAATTACCAGATCCAGGATTAGCAGGAACCAACAGGGCATGTATCTTAGCCTGGATCAGCAGCGATGCCTGGGGTGTACCGTCCACACAGGCAGACACCTGAAGGGCTTCCAGGATGCACAATGCTCTTTCACAGCAGTCTGTGTTTGTATCATTGTTGCCACATAAATGCAGACTTTGATTCAGTCTTAGATGAACTCGAACTGCAGTCTGGGACACCAAATGAGACAAACAAGACCATGAAGAAAATGCATGTCCAAGGATCAACTTTATGAAATTAAATTTTTGTTGTAATTAACTCAGGTGCTTGTGTCTTACTTCATCATTGTTGCATCTGTTCACTGTACATTCTTAACTCAGATCAATTCATTAATTAATATTTGAAATAAACTTCATGCTTCTAACAACTCTGGTGTGTATTTTCTCCATTTTATGCCACAAAAAGGACAGGACAAGTCTCTTACCTTTCCCAGCTGCTCCCTTGTGAGGACCCAATTTGTTTCTTCTGCTACACATGATGGAGAACCAATGTTTCCTGTTAAAAGGAAACCATCAACAACAACCAAATGCATCCAAAATTATTTTACTGTCACTATTCATAATCCTTATTATTATTGTTGCATCATTTATGGTTTATCATTGTTATCATTTCATTGACACATTTATTGAAACTGGTGAGGTTATATTAAAGTCTGTATTTCAGGTGTTAGCATAAGCACATAATCTTTCATTGCAGGTGCAACTGTAATCATGTTATACACATATTGCATAATTAAAGGGTTGAAGCTCGGGTAAGTTAATTAATGGTTTGAAGCTATGGGCAGCGCGATGTCTGGCCGATCAATGGAGCAAAGTTCAGCTATTGAAAGGTTGCCTACATGTTTACAGTATAATTTACTATATGTGGCCTGTGTGTATTCAGCAGGCTGCACTGGAGTTGGCCTGGTCACAGATGAAGTCTGGACAAGTAGAATAACAGGATGCATCTGGAGGAACTGTTCTGTTTTAGTGACGCGAGGTACTGGTCATCATAAGTATAATATTACACCCACCTAAGCTGTGAATTTATAAAATGCAGTTAAACTAGTACAACAATATCACTGCCAGAACATGCTGGGATGCTGGGGGGCTGGTGGACCAAAGAGGATATGTGGTGTCCTGGAGCTTTTACCTGTTGTGTTGGATGGAGAAACTGTCCTCAGGCTAAGAGAGATACCCGAGGTGTTTCCCAGCAAAACTGCAGTGACCACTGGTCCCGTTGTAATCACAAAGGAAGGCTGGAAAACTTTCAAAACAGTTATGTCACATATTAGCTACAAAAATTCACTAAAAAATTTAGCAACTGCTCGTTTCTCAGGTAGGTTTTGCGAAGGTACCGTCAGCTATTTCAAAGCAAATTAAATATAAGGTCTTACCGACAATGTTTTGAGTGTAAGCCAAGCAAGCGAAGAGTAAAACATGTGTAAAGAACGAAGAATATAATAATACGACCACATTAGCCATTTGGTTCGCCTCAGGAAGTCGACATATTTGTAAACTGTTCGTGATGTCCTAGCAACGTCCTTAACCAATCACAGCCCACGATGAGACCAGAGAGGATCTCGCTTAACGGAAAGAGCGACATCATCTGGTCAGGAGTGATTTATACCTATACACTCAGAACCTCACTGGCCTCTGGTGAAGAAAAGCATACCAAAATATTACATTATATTTGATTGATTGATTGATTGATTGATTGATTGATTGATTGATTTTATTTTTCTCCAATAAATCCCACGATTCTGTGGATACAAAGTACCAGAATAATGAGTAACATCACAAAATCAACTAGAAACACTTAAAATATTAACAATATATAGATCAACATTTGAGGACAGTATATATAATATTTAGCAAAAGGTCAGTAATTAAAGACGTGTCACACTTGTGTGTGTCACAAAACAAAACTACACATAAAATCCAATAATAAAAGTTTGTCACTATTTTTTCTGTTTGTTTGTTTTTTTGTTGTTGTTTTGTTTAATTGCTTATTTGTTTTTTTTGCAAACCAGTACATTTCAAATTTGAAAATCTATGGATAGCAACAATAACACTTCGGCCTCTAGGTGGCAGCATGTAGCTGTAAGTCTGCGATGACAGCTGCTCTAAAAAATAGTAGAAGAAGAGTCTTGTCACGTGACCTGTAAATCAACGTGCTCGCTGGGAGTCTGGAAACAGTACACATCTGTACTGTGGAATCGATGTGATGATGCTGGGGTTTGAAGAGCTGCTGAGAAGTCTGCAGGACTGTGTGATCTCCGAGAATGAAGCAGCTGAGAACGTCAGCCGGACTCTGAGGCAGTTTCTTCAGAAACTGTCTGAATCGTCCAGGTAGCAGCTGCACCTCAGGCACGCATAGCTATTTTCTAAAACACTGCATGCTGTTCTGAAAAGTTTGGCTGAATAAGTGCGCTTCCGTGAACAGGAGCGGCGTGAAGAGATGCAAGGAGCGCTGCTTGGAGGAAGCTGTCCAGCTGCTGAGACAACTTTCTGAAGCACAGCTGTCTGGTTTAGAAAACGACCATCTCACACTTCTCGTCAGGCTGCTCATATCCACGCAGCTACAGATGGTCGGCATCTCCACAGCTTGTCGCAAAGTGGACCAGGTTGGCTGTATTTTGTGTCCGATGTGGCTGTTCGCAGCTTAAAGACAGAAAGGCACATTTACACCTTTATTTTATTCCTTAACAGATGTTGCAACACTTAGCAAAGGTGGACCACCAGCTGGTTTTTAGAGAGACCCGTGAGTGTTTCCACTCCGTAGTCCACAGTGACCAGGTACAGAGTCCTCACTTCGCTTTGGTTTGTCGCACATTTCCATAAAAGGACTGCAGCTAACTTTGACCTTGTCTTCATTTCAGATTTTGTGTTTTGAGGATTTGCAAAGAGGTCAGAACAAATTTAAACTTACATTTATTTTTAGTAAGTTGCCACCTTTAACTTGTGTTTAACTGTTGTTCCTGTGCGTATATATATATATATACACATACTGTCTGCAGCTTGTATGTTCCTGGAAGACAGCACTGTTGGCCGTGAGGTGTGGAGAGAGTCGTACATGTCCATGCTGAACAAAGTGTCTGAGTTACTCCCTGTCGCACTGCAGCAAGAATCCCTGAGAGATGGACCGCTGTGCTACATTACAGTCAAGGTATGCGAGGAGCAGTGTGGATCACCATCAACTTACTGCGTGACCTCTGTCACTGACCGGAGAACTGTAATCTCTGCAGGTGTGTTTGCAGATATTCCAGCTGTTGTCCAGTGAAGTTGCTCCTCTGGTGTGGGATGAGGAACAGAGAGCCCCAGTGCAAAAGATCCTGCAGACCCTTATGGCCATAATACTTGGACAGGTTTCTAAAGAATTAATTAATCACTCACTTACGGGATAAATGTCAGCTGTTACAGCTTAATGCTGACTGTGTCCTGTCGTGCAGTGCTGCAACAGAGACACTCGTCTTCTTGCCGGCACCGCCGTGGCCATGCTGATCAACACAGCCTCAGAGAACGGAGCTGGAGGAGCTGCAGCCTGGAGTCTGCTACAGGTCTCTCACTTGGGTATGGAAGCAGTGACATGAATGTAGAAGCAAATCAAGCACTGGAATTTGAACAGATATTTACCCAAGCGAACATCGGCCAATACATGTAATATATGTTGCACTATGTCTAAAAATTGATCAGAAACTATGCACACAATGTGTTATCACAGATTCTACAGCACACTGTAAGTGTGTGGACACTCGTTGCTGAATAGCTCCCACTTCCTGTTATTTCTCAGAGCCCTGGCTGCTGGCTGTCGGTGTTCTCCGGGTGCAGTGCGACCCTGCAGAAAAGGATGGAGTGGCCAGACTGGCTGTTTGCAGAGGTCTCCTGACCTGCTGTCGACCTCACATTTTGCTCAGTTCACATGAGGACGCCCCAGGAGTAAATCTACCTGAAGTCCACCTCAGAGCATGCATTGTGGTTGTGTTTGCTTTCATTTCCAAACTTTTCTCTTTAGAATCGCCTGCTGCTGCACGGTTTGTTTCCTCTGGTGTTTACTTTGTGCGAGGAGAAGCTGGATTGTCACTACTTTGCCTTCGAAGGTGAGTTGCTGCCTAAGCTGTTTGTTCATGCTTTGCAACACTTCTGTGGCCTACATAAACCTGAGGTGTTGTTGCAGTGTTAAACTTATGGCTGAAGAAGGTGAAAGAATGTCTGGCTGATCTGTGGAAGGTGACACGTGTTCGCCTTCTTCCTGACAACTGCACTCTGCTGCAGCAGCTCATTCACCTCATCTGGACCAATGCAGAAAGCCCAGTGAGAACAGAACTATTATTATTAAGTGAAGTGGGACGTTTTTAATATTCAAACTCTTCGATAGACAAAATTGGCAATATGGAAAGAATTACAGAGGACAGGAGTAGGATAGGCAGAGGAAAGGGGAGCAGAAAAAATATCCTATCATATTCTACTCCTCTCCTCTATAATTCTTTAGTAACCATGTTTGTCTTGTATATTTTTATGTCTGATAGACAAAAGACTTAAAATAGACTGTAATTGGAATCAAATTTGTTTATATTCTGTCTTGGTTGATGTCATATTAGCTGCTCAATAAAGTCATATTACAGCCAGGGTTGTCGTACTATGCGTTTGCAGGTGGACGGGGTGTCAGAAACTGCTCGCAGTGCATTTTTTCTGCTGCTGGATCTCTATGAGATGGACTGTAAACAGTTCTGTGACACAAAGAGGGCTCTTTATCTTACTCTGCTCGAGCGAATAATGAAGCTACCTTGGGAAGCCAAAGCTAAGTATCATCGCCTGTGCGCCTTGCTGCCGTATCTGGGTACTGACAAGGTGAGAATTTAAAGGCAGTTACAGTGTTAATTAATGTTGTGAGCTAGTCATTATTGGCTATGTCTTTGTTTACTTTTTCTGTCTTTCTTTTGCCCTTCCTGTCTTCAGCTGCTGGATCAGTGTCCTGAAATATCCAGTCATCTCCTGAAGTGCTTGTCTACCAATCACCTGGCACCGTGTGGGTCAGAGCTTTATAAAAGTCTGATCCAGCAGCAGAGGCGAGAGCTGTGTGATGGCTCTTCTTCACACGCGGAGCTGGATCTGGCGAGTCACTGGGCACGGCGTTGGCAATCTGTCCTTCATGAGGCGCTGACATCTGAAGTGCCTCTTCTACAGAACAACAGTGCAACGCAGTTATTACCCTGCACCTTCCAGGTGTTCCCCTCTGCTGTGGACCACATGCTGGCCTCCCTGGACCCATACACCCCAGGTCACCTCCACGCCTGGGCCTGCATCTTGAGCTCTTATCGAGCTGTAACTGGAGACTCCCTCTGGGCCCTTCAGGGTAGTTCCACCTTAGAGACCCTCCAGCTAGCTCTAGGATCTGCAGATGACAAAGTACGACTTGCTGCTCTCAATCTGCTCTGCTGCTGCCCGAAGACCAAAGACACACCAACTCCACAGGAGATGGCGATCATGAGGACGTTCATACCTCAGAATCTAAACTGCGACTCCTCGCCTTTTCGCCAACATTTTCAGGCTGGAGTGAAGAAGTTTCTGATTCGGATCAGAGATGGCTGTTTGGCATATGTCAGAGGACAGAAGGGCAAAAAGAAAGGAGAATCCTCTCACTCGGAAAGGACACAGGATCTCTTAGATCAGGGAATAGGTGAGAAAATCATCATTTTTGAATGAGACCTTTCTAGTTCCCCATTTTTGTCCTTAGACTATACTAGAGTAGCTTTGCATGATTCACAATTCAAAATAATCCCCATTTAACCTACACCAGGGCAGGCAGGTGGTCCTCTGTATGAAACAAACTCTCCTCCCTTTAAGGCGATCGTTCCTTTAAGCCAGCTTCTTCTGATTGATAGGCAGTCTCAAACAGGTTTGAACAGTGCGTAGGTGAGTGACTTCTTCTTTTCATATGTCATATAGGATTTGTGGAATGGCTGAGTCAGCTTCCATACACCTATCTGGCACCAGGACACAGTTATCAGAGAAAGAAGACGGCATTGCTGTTGCTCTCAGCAGTGCTGGAGACTTGCACAGACACCTGGAGCCCAGACAGGAAGAAGGGACAACCTCCGGGTACGTTTGGAAAATGTGATGCTGATATTCTACACTTAACAGATTTTTTCCCTCCTGTTTTTTGGCTTTTAATGATATCTGTGGAACATGTTTGCAGCAAATATCAGTTCTCTCATTAGCTGTGCCAGACAGAGAGGACAGTGGGATTTCTTCTGCAGGACGAAACAGCTAGTACTTCTCAGCTGTTTGGAAGATTCTACAAATGAGGTAGAGATGCCGTTTCTTACCTTGAAATTTTAATTGGTTTAAATCAATCGAAGCTGAATATAAGGAATTCCCCCCCCCAGATTCGGGAGCTCGCTGCTGGGTTATTGTTGAGATTTTTTCCACCCAGTTTTCTAGATGATCTCACTGAAGTGCTGCATACGAGAACTAAACAGCTTCTATGCAGTCCCCGGGTGCAGGAGGCCCAAATGGGAGCACTGATGATGAAGATCCTCCTTCAGAAGTAAGAACTGCTCTCTAAAGGTTGTCGTTCT